TAGACCTAAGCCTAGGATTGGTTGATTAGCTGATTGCTAATGTACGAGGCACAAGCTTCTGCACATAGATTTACAATGTGTGTGATATCTTCAGGAAGAAAGTTCTGATCATTTCCTTTACTGTGATGAAAGGAAAGCAAGACATTGACCTAGCATGCCATGCTTGGTTTAGCATTTTGAAAGATATATTTTATACCAGCTTGCCAATCTGAAGTCAGAAAGGTGTCTTATTGCCTGTCAAAAGTATTTTCTTATCCATGGCTTCCCTTGCCATAGCTAGTGCCCAAAGGCTTGACCCTTTAATTGCCCCAGCACAAAACCTAACATCAGCGCAGCTGTTCACTCACCTAGCTTGCTGTGGAGAAGCTGCTTTCACTTCATTTATCCAACCATTTTTATATTATCTAATGAGATGGATCAAGTTCGAAAACAAGTGGGCATTTCAAATTACAATGTGGTTATTTTAGAGAGTGCAAAATCTGGTGCAGCTGTGCATAGTAGCCAATCAGTTTCTAACTTCCTCTTGTTCAATTTAGCTTTGACAAAAAAAAAATGGAAGCTGGTTGGTCTCTATGCAGAGCTGCACCTGATTTTGCACTTTCCAATTTTAGTAAATTAACCCCAATATGCTTATTTTACCAAAAGTGTTTTGTTTTTTTTGTTTACAAAGATCACACAATAAATTATTACCTTATAAGGATATAAATACACAGCTCCATTGTCTACTTGTGGTGATACCTGGAAAAAAGAAGCGGCAAAGGCCAACATCAATTATTCTTCAAATTTTTGGCACATTGTAGGTTACTCAAAGTGAACATATCTTCATCTTTTACTAGAATAAATTAGCCTTCAATTTTCAAAGTGTCTAGTACTTGATGGTATCTACCCCTTTAACTGCTTCCCGACCGCCCTATAGCAGATATACTGCTACAGGGCGGTACAGGTGCGCAAAATCACGTATATATACGTGAGTTTGCACTTCCAGGTAAGGGGCACACGTGAGGCGTCTCGGCTGGTGATTACTTGCCGACGCCTGGTGATTGGGAGGAGAACTGTTTGTAAACAAAACAGTTCTCCCCCCTGTCAGCTCGTGCACACTGCTTTGGATGGCTGTGCACACGGACACAGCATTATATAAAACAGCACACAATTAACCTTTTGATCGCCCCGTATGTTAACTTCTTCCTGCCCAGTGCCATTAGTACAGTGTCAGTGCTTTTTTTAGAACTGATCACTGTATTTGTGTCAGTGGGGATGTCAGTGACACCAAGTCAGTTCCCCCCAGTGACAGAATGCTCACCACAGTCCCACAGTCCTGCTATAAGTCACTGATCGACGCCATTGCTAGTAAAAATAAAAAAAAAATCCCAGAATTTAAACTGCCATTTGTAAACAATATAACTTTCATGTAAACCAATTAATTTACACATATTGGGATTTTGTTTAGCAAGACATGTAGCAGAATACATTTTGGCCTAAATTTATGATGAAATTAGATTTTTTAAATTTTTAAAGTTTTTTTCTAAAAATTGTCGGTCTTTTTTTATAGTGCAAAAAATTAAAAAAGCACAGGCACTCAAATACCAATTAGTGGGAAAATATTAGTGGGATGTAAATTTTATTTAGGTGCAGCATTGCATGACCGCTCAATTGTCAGTTAAAATAACAGAGAGCCGTAACGCAAAAAACGGCCTGGTCAGGAAGGTGGGTAAATCCTCAGGTGGGCAAGTGATTAATAAATCAACCTCTTGTGAGTTATTATTGAATTCTACCTTTCTGAATATGCCAAGTATATTGTGACTTATCTACAAAATCTTGCTGCATAAAAACTTGTCAATAGATAGAACACCCTAGTTAGGGTACATTTTTATAAACAGCTTCATCTGCACAACCACTGGATCAGGTAACATTCACAAACATCTGTGTTTCTATGGTAAAATATGCTTACTAACATCTACTATATTTATCATATGGAAAATGTCACATCAACTACACATTTGGCCTTGATTTTCTGCATAGTTACATGACATTCATTTTCCTATGGTGGCAGGCTGAAGTTATGGTTCATAGCATTTTACAATAAAAATACAATTATTCTTATTGGACTCCTGGTGACAATAGTATTGGACTTTACATCATTTCAGGATTTGGAGCAATTGAAAAAAAAAGAAAAGTAAAAAAAATTAGAACTTTAGTCAGAAAGTCCTACTACATTACTTCAGTGCCTATACTGTTTAAAATCCAGTAATACACTGTCTCACCCTTCTTTGCACATGCTCAGTTCTCTTTTTTTTAGGAACTGTGCAGAATTTGTAGAGGGCAATCTGCTGACAGCCTAAAGATTTACTGCTGTTCAGGGGCTCTGGACTTCAGCAAAATGGCAGCCTCCAGAAAGAACAAACAGGAAAAATGTTGAATGCAATTTACAGCCCACATTAATTTGGGTAGCATAATTATTAATGTGGAATGTACAGCATGTTCCTTGCTAAAGAACATTATTTTTTTTCAAGATGTTATGGGAAAACTTTAATATCACCCCTACCAGTGCTACCAACATGGGACACTAAGGGTATCCACAAGGCAATGGAACAGCAAGTGTACAGATCCTTGCCATGCTGATTCTAGCATAGTACTCAGCACTAATATAAGTTAAAAAGATATCTCCTAAATACAAACTTCAGTGATTTATCTTTATATGCTGGACTGTTTATGCACATACTAAACATTTATGCCCCTGGTAAGAAGATTAACAGTCCTCATTACTAATAAATATCTTCCAAAGATAATCTGCACAAATCTTATAGTCTGAGCTCCATCTTAGTCAGTTTACAGTAGTTTTTACCGGTACTTGTAAAGTAATAACTACATGTGGGGACTGATTTAAAGTGTAACTCCGGGCAACAACTAATACTGCATTTCAGTACATATGAGTCCACCTGCCAAAGGGTCTGTAATATTGGACAGTCAATATCGTGATACACACGTTTCTAGTCAGGGCAGTCAACTCCACTTTCTTGGAAAAAAATAGTAAAAAAAAAAATTATATATATATATATATATATATATATACATACACACAAAACATATATAATTGATACACAAGCCATATTGTAATTTAATGCTATTAAAAGTTATCTTTTCTTTTTGGTCTGCACTCACTGTAATTGTCTGCAAATTGCATTGCAAAATGCTAACTTAAGGTGTTCTGGAGGTGTTTGTCGTTTATGTTAGTGTCACATTTCTATGAATATATATTTCATATTTATTCCACAGTCATAAATCCAACCACTTTTTTTTAACGACATCTGATTTTTACATTCCTGTTGTAGCAGATAGATAGAGCAATGCATAGAAAGATAACAACACAATGATGTCCAAAGATGTAAGGAAGAACATTTAAACGTAGGGTCGGTGGATGCTGGAATTTTCCTGAACAATAAACTAAAGCACTAATCAGTCTAGAACATTGCTGGTACTGTATATACTGTAATTTCTTTACCTTTTTAGCTCTAATGAATTCAGATAAAATATTTATTATTACTTTCCCTTTGTAATGGTGTGAGAGAACGTGTGAGTAGGTAGTCACTGAATATTTAAAAAGGATGATAACAAGCCCTACAATACCTGGTCAATTAAACGTCAAATGAAAATTATTCTGTGGAACGTGGTGGACGACCAATACAGAGTTATTTTTAGAAATAACGACCAATACAGAGTACAGATTTTAGAAATAACTGCTGTGACACCTCAGTCTGTGTGGTGGTAAGCATGATGATGATAATCTTTGCTACACTAAAGCCTGGTACACACGGGCCGAATATCAGCTTGTATCAGCCCGCTCAACAGAAACAGTTTCTAATGCATCGGCCGTCTTTCAGCCCGTGTGTACAGCAGCCTGTCCAACAGTAGCCGGCTGAATGTCCAGCTTCTGTCAAATGGGCGTGCTGGAAAAACAGCAGCTGGTCGCCATCTTATCAACATTCACAGCCAATAGCTCAGCGAGGAGAAAACCGAGGAGTTTGTGAGGAGTTCAATGTTCAAACTATGCAATGTTAGGACAACGAGCTCCTCAGTTTTATTTTGTTTAGCCTGCTGAGTTAAATGAAAAAAAAACTGTTCGTGTGTACCAGGCTTAAAGTGTTACTAAACCCACAACAGTAAAATCAGTCTGAATATGCAGTAAAGCATGCTTGTTATACTGACTGTAGAACCTAAGAGATTAATCTTCTGCATTGTGTAGAAAGAACATTTGATCCTGTTTTCTCCGCTCCTCCTCTTGTTCAAATGTCCACCTGATAAGACAGACTGAACCCATAGCCACATGCACATGCTATATTTAGTGTTTATTGCTAGAGAGGTTTTTTTTTATTGGGAGAGTGCATGTGATCAGCACAGGGCAAATTAGTCCTATCCAGACAGAAGATCAGGGGTCCTGCATCCTCCTACAGCAGAAATAAAACTCCTCCTACAATCTTTAACCGGTGCTCAGCTGAAGTCACAAGACTACTCTAACTGATGATGAGAAAAGGTATTTAGCAGTTTATATTTACTAAAATAATTGTACTTCCATGTTCTGTGTACTGTGGGAGACCAGATATAGTGAATGCAGGGCCCTGGGTTTAGTATTACTTTAACCGCCTCCCACCCGCCATATAGTAAAATGACGGACGCAAGGCAGTTCTCTCGTTCTGGGAGGACGTCATATGACGGGAGTGTGCGCAGCGCGGCGATCGGCGGTGCGCTGTGTCCCTCAGACACAGCGGATCACCGATCAACAGAAAGAGCCGAAGATGTTGGCTCAGTCATGTGATCAGCTGTGTCCAAATACAGCTGATCACATGTTATCGGCATTTCTCTCCCCATGAGCTGTCACGCTGACAGCTCGTGAGGAGAGGAGAGTCGGTAATCGGCATTCCTCAGAGGGGACATGTACACAGATCGTCAGAGCACTGATGATCAGTGTGCCCTGATGATCTGTGTAACACCAGCACGGCAACCTGTCAGTGTCCATCAGTGCCAGCTCTCAGTGCTCATCCACATCACCTGCCAGTGCCCATCAGTGCCATATCAGTGCCACATTTCTGTGCCCATCAGTGCCACATCAATTCCACATCAGTGCCCATCTGAGCTGCCTTTCAGTGTCACCCATCAGTGCCAGTCAGTGCCACATATCAATGCCAGTCAGTGCCACCCATCAGTGCTGCCAATCAGTGCCACCTATCAGTGCCAGTCAGTGCCGCCTATTAGTGCCAGGCAGTGCCGCCTATCAGTGTGCATCAGTGCCGCCTATCAGTGCCCGTCAGTGCTGCCTATCAGTGCCACCTAACAGTGCCAGTCAGTGCCGCCTATCAGTGCCATATATGAGTGCTGCCTTTCAGTGCCCATCAGTGATGCATGTCAATGCCCATCAGTGCCACCTACCAGTGCCACCTATCAGTGTCCATCAGTGCAGCCTATCAGTGCCCATCAGTGCAGCCTCATTAGTGCACATCAGTGAAGGAGAAAAATCACTTATTTACAAAATTTTATAACAAAAACTAAGAAATACATTTTTTTTTTTCAAAATTCAGTGGTTTTTGGTTTGTTTAAGAAATATATAAAAAACCCAGAGGTGATTAAATACCACCAAAAAAAAGCTCTATCTGTCACAAAAAAATGATAAAAATGTCATATGGGTACAGTGTTGCATGACCGTGCAATTGTCATTCAAAGTGTGACAGCGCTGAAAGCTGGAAATTGGCCTGGGCAGGAAGGGGGTATAAGTGCCCTGTAGGCTAGTGGTTAAAGACTACAGTGTATACTTTTTGATACTAATGTATTATAGCTTATGCCCTACGCAGTGCTGAGCAGGCAGGAGGAACAAACTACTATGTCTTACTGACTGATTTCCAAAGCTAATTATTAGTGGACGTATTAAGTTCAAACAGAAGTACAGTCCCTGAAGATGTCTTAGGGACAAAACCAGTAGGGTTTGGCTACAGGCATGTGACCGCACCCCACGGTGAGGACAGCTGCTTGCACACAGCAGAGAGCAGATGGAGCTATGTTTCTCACAAACTGCTAAGCCGTAACACTAGTGCTGGGATAGCACTGCTGAATGTGAAAGCATTGATTTTATTTGCTATTAATATTTTAATGATTTGTTTTTTTAAGACGGAATTATGTGATGTCATCCTCTTATCCTCCCTTGATTTTATGACCCATACTGGGGAAAATGATGGCGTTGAGATCTAGATGTTCATAAAAGAGTATGACCCATATGTTTTACACTGAATTCATACATACTGCAGTGACAGGCATATTCTAAACAAAAAGACCCAAATGGGAAAAAGAAAAGGGACTTTACTGGCACCAAGGGAAGATACAACATAGAGTAAAAAAATACATATAGCTTTATTCACATAACATAAAAAAAAATGTTAATGTTACTGAATTGTAAAACGCCTGTCACCGCAAGGACACAAAGGAAACAATGGTTTCTTATGTCCCATTCACACTGCAGAGCAGCCTAGAGCAGCACTGCAGCATGCTGCAATAAAATGCAGACATTATTATTATTTTTATTATTATACAGTATTTATATAGCGCCAAAGGGTATGCTCAGCGCTGTACAGTAGCAGGGGGGACAGAACATGAGACAAGACAGTAACAATACAATACACGAGGGGTTCGAGGGCCCTGCTCTTTCGAGCTTACAATCTGTACCACAACGCAGCGCACTGCTGTACATTGCCATGCATGAAGTGTATATTTTGTACACTTCACATAAACTTTGTATAAAACAAAAAAAAGGGGGCTCTGGGATTCACTGAATTGTGCACCACACTGCCCCCTGCTGCATTCAGGAGTGTTGTGCTTCCAGAGGTAAAGCACTCCAGCAGGTCTCTGTTCCCATGTTAATTCACCCTTAAGGGTCTTGGAATCTGGTGAGTTATGGGAAAGATCCACATAATAAGGATTGAAGGTGGCACAGTGTGAAGCATTTGAAGGTTGTACATTTGAGGTGGTTGTAAATTTGCACTGGATAGTCGCACACTAGCACCACAGTGACTGCGTTATAGAAACTAGTGTTTAAGCACAGCTTTGCACTAAGGGATTTTTGCACAAAAGAACGTTTTTATATTTTGCACCAAATGTCTTGCTTTAGCACACTATTATATGTGTGTATATGTGATGTTAGTGTTTTAAGACATTTGTAAAGCACATATCACTTTGCTTTTTAGCACCTAAAGTGACAGTGCGCATTAACCGTCTGCCAGGAACTCACAGTAAAAATATACTGCGAGTGGGCAGCAGGTGCAGGCACAATCACGTACCTGTACGTTGGCTGATTCTTCCAGGTTCGGCAGCACATGCGCGCTCCTTGCCTACCCATGCTGTGTTGGACACATCACAAGTTTGGCAGCTGATTTCAGCCAATGATTTTGGCAGAAGTCAGCTAATCTGATGTTTTCAATCACACACAGAATTCTTTGTTTACAAAAACACAAAACTTTGTGTACAGGGGAACAGCAATCTGGCTGTTTCTTCTCCCTGCAAAGCAGGGAGAAAAAGCAGCCAGATAGTAAAATAAATGCAGCACACATTGCACAAATTACACATTGTTAGGCACACAGTTAACCCCTTGATTGCCCCTAGATGTTAACCCATTCCCATACAGTGTCATTAGTACAGTGTCAGTGTACAGTATTATCACTGATCACTGTATTAATGTAACTATTGACAGCAGTGTCAGTTAGTGACCCTCCCAGACAGTGTCTGTTAGTGCCAGATTGCCTGTCACCCTATCGTAGGTCCACTATAAGTATAGCTGCATAAATTCCAGTATATATACCATTAGGTAGGTATCCACCACTCAATATAATGGTTCCAGGAGCATTATATCACTCTCTATTTTTATATCTCTCCACCGAGGTCATGTTTGGGAATGAAAGAGAAAATCATGGTGCAGCCAGTTTTTTTATAAAAAGTATCCAACAATTTAATAAAGATTTACACTCACAAAAAGGGTGTCTTCACCGACACCAGTATAACAGCATAAAACAGCAAATGGTATAACAGTCTCCTGTTCCCCGCACACTCACTACAGCGCTCCTGACTCAATCTTCTCCACAGACGTCAGCATCCAGCAAGCCAAGCTCTGGTGAGTTACCCAACTTTACTTTGGTGGTGGATTTTTGGCACAATTACTTTGAGAGTACCTGAATTTGAAAAGGATTTGTTTGGACATTTGAAGAAATTCAGAATTGGACAATTTTTATATTCACAAATTTAATTATTTAAATTACTTATGCACTAAAAAAATAGTTTTGCACATAATTTTGATATTTTTTTATATTAATTGAGAATAGATATATATATCTTTTGCACTAATGTTTCTACACTAAATTAGGAATAGCTTGTGGTTTTAGCGCATTCCTTTATTTAAGTTATAGCACTAAGAAATTTATTTGGTTTCTTTGAGGTGGAATTGCTGCTTTAAAGTATTAAGGGTTGGCGCTTTTATTACACTTGTGATATATACCATTGTTTGTAGACTCTATAACTTTTGCACAAACCAATTAATATACACTTATTGGGATTTTTTTACCCACATGTAGCAGAATACAATTTGGTCTCAATTTATGAAAAAATTGTATTATTTTTATTTCTATTTATTGGATATGTTTTTATAACAGAAAGTGAAAAATAATGTTTTTTTTCCCAAAATGTTGTCTTTTTTTCCTTATATAGTAAAACATTAAAAACCCAGTAGTAATTAAATACCACCAAAAATAAGCTCTTTTGTGTGAAAAAAATTATAGAAATGTAATTTGCTTACAGTTTTGCATGACTGCGCAATTGCTAGTAAAGGTACCACAGTGCTGAATAGCTAAAATTGGTCTGGCCATGAAGGGTGTAAAACCTTCCAGAAGAAGTTTGTAGAGTACAAGGCACTTTGAGTTTCAGCACTTTACTTATAGGGATATTGTACATTAAAAAGTTCATGGATAATTATCTTGGGAAGTCAGCACTGTATCATCTGTATCAATATTGTTTTATAAATATCAGGAAGAAGTTATTTATACAGCAGCTTGAGTTTGATATATAAGGTGTGGCACAGACATAATAAATATATATATATATATACAGTATATATTGTAATATGAGGGAAGTTTAGCTCAGTGGTAGATGCAATTTTTATACAGTGAGTCTATTTCACACAGGCATTATAGTTAAGGGCCTGGTAGCCCACTTTTTTAAAAAGGGAGAACACAAAACAAAAGTCTATCCAGGATTCCCACACAGGGGTTTCAACTTCATTCAGCAAAGAAATTAAAAATACAGAGCCACCTGGCTCACTGGTCAGCAGTACCTCTGTTTGTTTTGGACTGCCAGGCCACTTGGCAGGGCTCTATTTTTCAAACAGCTCCAATTCCCGCCACCTACTGCTCTCAATAGCCCATCATTATAGGGGCTGTGTGCACCTGGGCACACAATCTGCTGGTTGTCCACAACACCTGGACACTGGGTTAGAGATTCCGCCCCCCCCCCCCCCCCCCCCAAAGACTCTTAGGAATCTCTAAACTACAGAGCCCCATCCAGAAATTCCAATAACTGCTGCAAGAAGTTGCAAAAAGCAGTTTTCTCCACTCAAAAACTATGCTCTGTAGCCTTGCAGTCCGCAGACATGCAAACTCTGTGTCTTTTCCCCAGCCATTTTGATAGTGACAGAGCTTCTCACTGTCACAATATACAGTGCTCAAAAAAATTAAAGGAAAACTTTTTAATCAGAGTATAGCATCAAGTCAATTAAACTCCTGGGATACTGATCTGGTCAGTTCAGTGGCAGAGGGGGTTGTTAATCAGTTTCAGATGCTGTGGTGTTAATGAAACTAACAACAGGTGCATTAGATGAGCAACAATGAGACAACCTCCAAAACAGAAATGGTTTTACAGGTGGAGGCCACTGACATTTTTTTCCCTACTCCTCTTTTCTGACTGTTTTTCACTAGTTTTGCATTTGGCTAGGATCAGTGTCACTACTGGTAGCATGAGGCGATACCTGAACCCTACAGAAGTTGCACAGGCAGTCCAACTCCCCCAGGATGGCATATCAATATGTGCCATTGCCAGAAGGTTTGCTGTGTCTCCCAGCACAGTCTCAAGATCATGGAGGAGATTCCAGGAGACAGGCAGTTACTCTAGGAGATCTTTACAGGGCTGTAGAAGGTCTTTAACCCATCATCAGGACCAGTATCTGCTCCTTTGTGCAAGGAGGAACAGGATGAGCACTGCCAGAGCCCTACAAAAGGACCTCCAGTAGGCCAATGGTGTGAATGTCTCTGAC